TCCTAAGCACTTGCAACTAGAAATTAACAGAAATTTTCAACACCCTCCCAAGCAAAAATGTCTACTAAATCAAAACAAATGCTCTAAATTTATTTGCATCCTCTTTGTGCATATTACCACCAGAAACTTTTTTTTTCCTCTTTCTATACCTGTCATCTGCCCAGATTCACTAAAAAAAAAGACAGAAGAAATTTTAAATAAACTTATCTTTCAGTCAAAAAAAAGATATTTCTTTTACCCATGCTGATTCACCAGGCACTGGAACACAGTAGAAAGTCTGTCTCTCCAAGGTGACTGTTTGTGAGGAGTTCAAATCAATTTCCTGCTGAGGCTGGAATCCCAAGAGAAATTTTGTTAAAAATATGATTACAGTGTGTTGTTTTGTTTTTTTTTTTAAACTAACCCCACAGATTCAGTTCCTCAGACACAAGTTGCAATTAACATGAAAGACTAAATAACTTAATATATGATATAATGTTTCAATTCAAATTTCACTGCACTACCAAAGTAACTGTTTTCCACAGTAGACAGTTTCAAGATCATGGGCACTCCCCGCTCCACTCAACCAAAACAAATTTTAAATACAACAGAAACAGCTGGAAGCCGACTGAAATTAGAATGCCAGTGAGCAGCTATGAATACTCTGCTTTCCAAACCAAAGATTAATTTTGCATTTAGAGCAGTATCTTCAGGAATCCATTGCCAAGTACCAAAGAAGCTCTGTCACACTTATAAAACATCAACTTTCCATCCAATATTTCTTCTCTAAGTTCATATAATTTATAAAACTTACCCCACATTCTGCCACATCTCTGTATTTACCAAAATGCAAAACCTGTCAAGAGGGAAAAGGCAATGCAATCATTCTGTTTCAGACAGCATCCCAAACATGAATTACACCAAAATCACTGCAGTCCAAAGTCCCTCACAGACATCCTGCCAAAGCTTTCATCATTCCAGCATTTTCTATTCCTCAGTGAAATGTAACAGGTTATGTTTTACTGATGCCACTGGACTTGATCACAGTTACTACCAGTGTCTAGAATCCATAGGCTTAACTCACAAACTAGAGAAATACATTAGAATAAGTAAAATTCTTATTTTAGTGAAATAAAAATTTTTTTAGTAAAAAAGTGAAATACAGAGAATAAGTAAAATGACAAACATTTGCTAAAATAGTAAATCAGTATTTCACTTACACGTGCATTTGTGTTTGGGTCAACTGTTTCATACACTCCCATGTAAAACTCAGGATCAAACATATCTTGAACCATGCAGCGAAATTTCACTAAGCTGTTGGGTTTTAGGTAATGTACAGGAACATCATTCAGTGATGGAACCTGTGAAAAAAGAGACTTTTCTATACAACTGGTATATATTGAAAAGAGCTCTGAAATAAGCCAAAACCAGCACAAAAACTTAATTCTTTGACCATCCAGTATATCTTCCTCCTCCTCAAACCCCTATATGTATAGCACTTTTAATATTGCCTGAATGCATCTCCCACCCTAATCTAAGCAGTAACAAAGTATATCTATCCCAACACCTTTCTGCTATGGCTGTTACAAATAATTGTTAGAATTATCAAGCACTTAACAGTTCCCAAATTCCTCCAGTCCCAAAACCAGCAGTCCCAATATTGGACTATGAAAGAAATGGTTATAGATCCCTGGAACTGTATGAAAATTCCAACACTTGAAACCAACTTTTAAATCTGGAATTATTGCAGTTGCAGGATTAAACAGAATTTATCATTTATCTTATTTCTACTTAAAGCACTTCTACCACGTGCTATGTACTAGCACTACTAGAGCAATTGGTATGCACAATTTCTTATAACAAAAGGTCCTGGAAAACCTGTATGTTAATTTCCAAGTCCACACTGGGGAACTCTTTTTCACACAGTTTTACATGACAATGGGAAATTGGAATGAAAAAAAATCAATGCCTAAGCACGTGGTATAACTTCAAAGAATGAGACTTGCAATTGAATAGTTTTCTAAATTTGAAGATAAAATCTTTGTTGAAAAAGCCCACATCCAACATTAAAATGCAACAAAAATCATAAGTGGCCCTATAGGAAGTGGCATTTTAACAGAAGTATATCCCCTCATGATTTTTTTGAGTAAGAAAATATGATTTCAATTTCTACTGATCTTGTAAATCAATTTATGCTTTGATTTAAACTACTGTTTAATATTATGTACAGAATACTTTCACTGACAGAGAAAAAAAAAATTTTCACCTGTTTTTAGCCATAAGTAGAACAGATTTGATATGAAAGTTTCTAATCCCCTTATCAGTCCCATTTTGACATTTCTGCTACAGCCTTTTAAAAAACCTTTTGAACTCAACTGTGCACATCTTATTTTTAAAACTGAAAGCACAGATTCCCTGCTAAACTGCACAAACCAGGCCTGACCCAACCCAAAAATGCAGAGTTTTAGTAGGAAAAGCATTTTTTCCTTAAAACCTGAAGGTCAAGAGAACTATTTATTCAACTCACACAAGCGTGCAGCATCGTAATAAAAGCTCCTGAGAGAAAAGGTTTATAACCAGCAGCTGAGAAGCTCGTGGTGCACACTGAGGACCCTCACTTCCCCAAAAATCACAATATTTGTCATCTCCTGCCATCTACTGACTGTGCTACAGAGTGGCAGCACCCAGCAGAGATGGCCTGGGGGAAGGAGGGTGCTGAAGGTAAGGGGATGGATGGGCTGGGATTTCACACCCCGGCTTTGCACTCAGGTTAAAGCAGCCGAGGTGTAAATTCCACATCCCAAAGCCTGGACCTGAAATTCCGCTGCACACTTCTCATTAAAAGGCAGGACCTATCAAAAGCCACTGCAATAAAATGTAAAAAACAACGAAGCTTAAGAAAAAGTGTACTCGGAAATAAGAAAACACTCTTACCCAGTTAGTAGCATTATTTTCTTTTAATTTCTCCTTGAAGTATTCAGTTACCTTCTTCTCCCAGTCAGAGTTTGGAACATTTTGGGCTACAAAAACCAACATATTTATGTGCCTATTAACACCACATAGGAGACTTTTATCCAGCATTCTCCCAGCATACCAAACAAACCCAACTTTCACTTCTATCTTAGGGAAGTAAGTCTAAGCATCTTAGACTAATTTATTCCGCTTGCAATTCACTGACTTCCCATTTCAAACCCTTTCAGGCCAACCAAGAAGCACAGAGCTATTCCTTGTAGCGAGGGAAAGCTCCGCAACACCCCAGCGGGAAAGGGCAGGAGCCGAGGCACCGCTTTCCGCGCTGTATCGGCTACGGAAATTTTTATTTCGGTATTCTTTTAGTTAAGCTCAAGCCCAGCACGGAAACAGCCGCGGCTGATAGCACTGGTAACATCAGCACCGCGTGCAGACAGCACGCGTTGTTGCCGGAACCCAGAGATACCTGAGATATACCAAACACACGCTGTACACAAGATATACAAGATATAAGACAGATATATAAGAGACAGAGCTGGCCTCTCCGCTCCCCCGCCACCACCCCCCGAGGGAAAGCACCGTCCGGTTCCGGGCGCCTCGGGGCGCTCCCGCCGCCGCCCATGGGACGCGGGCCCCGCCTCACCGAAGATGCCCTGCACGATGCTCAGGGGGCTGTTCAGCCAGTCGCCCACGCACGGCATGGCGGNTTCTTTCATAGTTACAGACATGATGCCCTGGTAATCAAGGGCCACAGCCATTAATTCAGTTCCTTATCCTCTTAGAGTGGTGCTGCTTTTCTGGGCAACTTGTGCCTCACCACCTTCACAGGGAAGAATTTCTTCATATATTATCTAAATCTACCCTCTGTTAGTTTGAAGTCATCACCCTTTGTCCTGTCCCTCTCCAGCTCAATGTCCTTCCAGCTTGGGAATTGTCCCATTCCTGGCTATGAACTATTGGAGATGGCAGTGTGCACAAACCCATCCCCTGAGGCAATCTTAGAACCCAGCTCTGCATTGCAGCCCAGCTGCCTTTTGAAGAGACTTCATTTCCTTCCTCATTTGTTCAGTTGCTTCACTTCACAGTAATGCAGCACAAGTCAGATTAAACCATGAATATTCATTTTTAGTGTTCCAAAAAAAAAAACCAACCAAACCAAACAAATAAGCTCTAAGTGATTTGAAACAGCACCAAACTTGGCTCAAGTTTAGGATACACAAAAAATGTTTCTCATAATAAGTGCTCAGTGTGAATAGACAAAATATCCAGCTTGGCTGTACCACAAAACCCCTCATGTTTAGAACAGGAAAATGCCATAAAAGGGGGGGTTCTTGTCCCTGTGATTTCAATCAGCAGAAAGCACTAAGTAAAAGGGGTCTGAGCTTAATGAAAACTTGTCAGGAGCCTTTTTTCTTGTTCTGAACAGGATTAATTAAAGCCAAGTGTGGAAGTGGCTCCATCACAGGTTCCTGCAAGCTGTTCTCACACTGCCACCCTCCCTGGATTGCTCCCAGCATTTCACTCTAAGCCACCCTTGGTAAACCAGTTCTGCATGTCCCATTAGGGGCAGCATGTCCTCTGGGGACCAGCTCAAACTGCACAGCAGGAATCAGAGATGGAGAGACCATTCTTAATGCTTCAATGACATTATCCAAACCATTTGAACACCCTGCAGTACTGCCACAGTAGAAAGTAAAGATATGGTTTGTATGAGCACAGGAGTATCACCCATTGTCTAGTGAATGTGGGGTTTTTTAAGAAGCTGTATCAGGATAAAGGATTTCTCACTGGAGAAATTTGAGAAGCCATGGTCTACTCCAAGCACAAGGTAAATATATTTCATCACATGGATGCTGCTGCTGCTCTGAGTGTGATGTGCCTCAGCTCACAGAACAGCAGAGTGAAGTCAGTACCTCCTCCAGCTGCAGCTGCTGAGAGCTCTGATCCTCACATTTCAGCCAAGGAGATATTAGAGCCTAAATGTACTCCAGACCAGAGCCTACCACTGCTCTTACACTGGCTTACATTTTTTTATTATTAAAGGAAGTAAGTTTACACAAGCTCAGTATTAAAGTTTAATATCAAACAATTTGCTCAATGTTACCAATTTTCAATTACAAAACAGGGTCCAAAAAAATTCCATAAAATATGTTTAGGTGGCTGAACAGAGTTAAGCGTGTTCAGACTGCCAGGGTGAATATCCATAACTTTTTGGTATAAATTATCTACAAAAACTGGTATAAACAATATTCCAATCTTAGTATGGGTTCCACCTAGGATTAGAGAAATTTTCAGTGACATCCAGCAGGTGTTAAAGTTCATTGCCATTGACACATTGCTGCTGCTGCAGCCTGGCCTTCCTCAGTGCCTCGAGTTGCTTTGCTCTCAGCCACCTCTCCCTCGACAGCGTCGTCTGCCCCGCACTGAGCGACAGGAACCTGGGGGAGCACAAAGAGCCCGTCAGGAACATCTCCTTCAGCTACTGAGGAACCAGCACAGCTCAAACCCAGCTGTCTTTCACTATCCGGGGAATTAGAAAGCACAGGATGAAAGCAGGGAGGGAATATTTTGCCTAACTAAGAGGAACAAGGCAGAGGAGATTCTGTCTGGCTGGTCTGGCACAACTCAGTTCAGCTGCAGACCAAGTGCTGGCTCCATTTGCAGCTTGCTGGGAAGTGACAAGAGCACCACACCCACCTGGCCACGAGCAGCATTTTGTGCAGGTCATCAGCAGTGACACTCTCAGGGTTGTTCTTGCGCATTTCCACAAAGTCTTCTTCTACTGCCTGGAATACAGCATGGAATTATGGAGCAAAACAGATCTCCACCGGGACACAAGCTTTTGAGGAGCTGAACACTGTAACAATCTTTAAATTTCAATGTTTCAACTCACTGCTGTCCAGAAGTGAGCCTGAGCAAAGCCAGACTACTTCTCATCTTTGAAAAGGACCCATTTTCAAAATGAGTGCTAGAAAGCAGGTTACATGTGCTGTTCCTTATCTGGAATAAATTCAGTATATACTTTACAAATGCTCAAAGGCACAGTCAGGATGTGAAAATGCTTCTGTTTGGGTTTTGTTAAAGGACAATCACTGTGACAGGGGAAGTACAGTAACTGTCTACTAAGGTGTTTTCTATCCAAATACACCACTGAAAACATACTAGGGAAGCGTCCATACCTT